GGAGCCGTGAGGGGCTCGGGGCGCAGCGGGGGCGGCTGCCAGGCTGCTCACCCTCGGGGAGGCGGGTCTCGGGGCTGCAGGGCTGCCAGCACCACCTACGGACGTGTGACCCACAGGGACGCGTCGTCGCCTGGTGCCCCGCGGGTCAGGCGCGCCCCGCAGGCAGGTGGACGACCAGAGTGGTGCCCGGGCCCACGCCGGGCCCGTGCCGGGTACGAGCCACACTGGGGGTCTCCAGGGACTGCCGACCTCCGTCCACCAAGGTGGCCAGGGCAGGGCAGGTCCAGGCTGACCAGCAGGGCTCTGCCAGGAGCCCTCAGCCCAGGGACTTACGTGAGCAGCTCCTTCTTCATGTCCTTGGAGAGAAACCTCAGCCTGAAGTTGGTCAGAGTGACCTCCCCTGGGTACTTCCGCTCCTCAAAACTCTCTTCCGACACTTCCTGGTCATCTGCTTCAGAAGAAGCAAAAGAATGGGCTGCTGGCTCTGACTGCAAAAAACCAGCAGGGACAGGTTTCAACCGGCAGGCGGGGCGGGCGGGGCGGCCGGTGGTCGGTGGTCGGGAAGGGACCCTTCAGGACAGCTGGCAGGGCGGCCTCGGCGTCGCCTGTCTTCTGGGAGAGGGAGGACGGCTTCGGCCTCCCCGAGACGCAGAGGCCAGCACCGTGGAGAGCCCAGGGAGGCGGAGGCCCGGCCGCTGCCCAGCGCAGGGCCAGCTCCTCCCGCCAGGGGCACTCAGCCCAGCGCTGCGGGCGAGGGGTGGTGGGCGACTGACAGCCCAGGGCCCAGGGCCACCAGCCGGCCGGCCAGGGGTGCGCTGCGCCACAGACCCACGCGAGCACTGGGGCCCCTGCGGTCCCCAGAGAGGGCAGGTGCTGTGGATGCTGGCTGGGCCAGAAGGCCCCGCCTCGGGGATGGCCGCCCCACCGGGAAGCCACGCCCACAAGCCCCTGCAGCGCGGCAGCCACCTTCCCGCGGCCCCAGCGCGGCCCACGGTAAGTCCTGGGGCAGCCTCTCGGGCCCAGACGCCCACTCCCCGCAGACAGAGCCCTGGGCGAAGACGAGGCCCTGCCCGGAGGCCCTGGCCTGCACAGAAGCAGCGCTGGCCACCACACAGCCTGCAGGACTCCCCTCGCCAGAGCCGCTGTGCTGAGTCCATAAGCTCAGGCGGAAGCTGCACCACAGGCTCGGCCACAGCTGCCTGGACGCCTGATGTGAGGCGGAGGGAGAGCAGAGGGCAGCTGTGGCGCTGGGGCCTCCCGGCCGGGCCCACGTGGGCCGTCTGGCCAGCCTCCCTTCTCCGACGCGGCTGGGTCTGGGAGACGGTCCAGCTCCTGCATCTGGCCCTGGCCACACCTCCACCTGGGGCTGGTCCCGCCCACTCCCACGCCCCTGGGCTGGCCACGCCCACTCCCCACCCCAGTCTGGCGACGCCCACCCTGGTCCCGCCCACTCCCTCCAGGGTTGACCACACCCACTCCCTCCACCCCAGCCGGGCCACGCCCAGGCATGACTGGACACGCCCACCCCCAGTCTGGCTACGCCCATCCAAGGGCTGGTCCCGCCCACTCCCCCCCACCAGGTTGACCACGCCCACTCCCTCATCCCCCAGTCGGGTCACGCCCATCCGTGGACTAGACACGCCCACCCCGCCAGGACACGCCCGTCCAAGGGCTGGTCCCGCCCGCCCCTGGGCTGGCCACGCCCACTCCCCCACCCAGCGAGGGACTCGGCTCCTCTTTGGCACCCGAAGAAGCCTGTCCCTGCCCACGCTCCGCTCCCCGAGGCCCGCGGCTGCTGACCACCGTGTCTGCCGCCGCGAGAAGGCCACCTCTCCGGGTGGACAAAGCCGCGCGTCACCCCAGGGCGCAAGCCCTTGGGAGGGCACCGCCGGGCGGC